CTCTGCCTCCCGAGTGCTGGGATTAAAGGCGTGCGCCACCACCGCCCGGCTCTCTTGGAGAATTCTAGCACACCAGAACAAGCACCATGTCAGGATGTGACTCTAGTCTCGACAGTGATGGATTATTTTTTAGAAGACAATCCAGTACACTTTCTTTTTGATGCTGTGTGCTGTAAGGATAAATGATAGCGCAAAGTGCAAACCCTTCTTGAACGCTGTGGTAGTTGGGTGGCAATGGACAGACAGACAGACAGGCAGGCAGGCAGATGACAAGTTTGTCTGTAGCAGGAACATTGAAACTGAGGTACTGAGGGCTGAGTGCGGTGACTCTGAAGACTTGCAGAATTCTGTGTCTTATCAGTTCAAAGAATTTCCGTTAGAAAGCTAATTCCGGGGCTGGAGAGACGGCACAGCGGCTAAGAGGGCTTGTTAGTCTTGCAGAGAGAGGTCCTGGGTTCCAGTCCCAGCACTTACGGCTGCACACGACCACTCAAAACACCAGGCCCAGGGGGACCCAACGCCCTCCCCCGGCACTGTAGCACCTATGTGGTACACAGACACATGCAGGCAAAACACCCACAAAATAAAATTTAAAAATTTCAAATCTCAAAAAAAATAAAATTAGGTCGGGCGGTGGTGGCACACGCCTTTAATCCCAGCAGTCAGGAGGCTGAGGCAGGTGAATCTCTGAGTTAGAGGCCAGCCTGGTCTACAGAGTGAGTTCCAGTACAGTCAGGGCTACACAGAGAAACCCTGTTTCCAAAACCAAAAATAAATAAATATAAATAAAAATTTAAAAAATAAAATTGAAAGAAAAGTAACAAGCATTAATTTTTTTATAGTTAAATATCCACCCAAGGTGTGTCTGCTCCACTGGGGCCCAAGTGTCAAAGCTCACTCAGATCCCGATTCACCCATGCAGGATCCCCACTACCACCCAGGGAAGCAGGTGAGATTCAGAGCTACTGTAATCCCCAGCAGATCACCCCAGTAAGGCCCCTGGTTTGTTAATTCCAGAATACTTGCGATGGGTCCTTCTTTTCTAACAGTTCCGCCATTGAATCATGCACTTCAAAACAAAACAAAAACCTTTACCGTGTTCTTCCCTGAAACTAACACTGAGGACGTGTGTGGATCAGAGACATGAGAACAAAAGACCCCCTGCCCGAAAGGAAATACAGAAAGGATTATCCTTTTTCAAAGGTGCAATAATGAAATACTTTCCTTCCCCTGGACAGGCAATTTCATCAGGGTTCATGCAAGGGGAACAAGACGCCATTGTCTTGACTTAATTGGCATAATAACTCCCCCTCCTCCAAATGATCACCCAGAGGGCTGCTCAGCACCTCTGCCTGCAGACGCAATCCCTTCTAAACACTGAACCTTTCACCTGGCAAACACCCAAGCCCTTTACCAGGCTCCACAAGGAAGACTTCTTGTTTTAGCCTGGCACAGCCTCCTCTGCCGGCTTGTGAGTACTGTCTCACAGGGCTTAGGAGCTCTTTTCTGCCCCCACTGTCTGTACCCCTCCTCTCCACACAGCGTGGGTTCCAAACTGGCCGACAAGGCAGGGAAGTCCTCGGAAAAGTAAAAAATTGAAAATCAGAGGAAGTGTGCATTCCAGCTCTCCACTGAGACTCCACTATAGAGAGGGGACCAGCAGGCAGGGACCCATCTGAAGGAGAACTCTGTCACGAAAACCCTGACCTTTTTGTCCCTTGGACTAGAAGACAGGGAAGAGTTGAGCAATTACCCAAGGAGTCCCCTGGCCAGAGCACGAATGGCCGGCTGGATCCGACTCTGCCATCCCTCTTCCTTATTGTTCTCAGCAGACACTGGCCAGCTGGCCAGCCCCTCAGCCAGCTGAGTCGGCCTGGCTCCACCAGGGCAGGTGGCCACAGTTCTTATCTCTACCACCTTCTGGATAAGAGAATGTAGCTGTGCAGGGCAGCTCCTGCTGGCCCCTCTGGGAGGCTGATTTTCAGGAAAATTTAGAACAGAGAAAGGTGAAAGGGAGTGGTCTGGTGAGCAGCCCACATATGAGCAGGAACAACGGGATGCCCAGATGTTCGAGGGGCAGACTGCAGGGGACACTTCATATCTGTTCCCTTCCCAAATCACAGCTGGGTGTGGTGATGAATGGACTCCCCACCTCACCTACCTCCAGACTATTTTATTGAAGAAGACTCAGCTCTCGTTAGAATGTCAACCTAGTAAGATAGTAAGTTCCATCTAACCTCACTTGCTATGGCTGTGCTCAGCTGGCTTGTACGACTCCACAGCTCACTGCGCCTTACTGAAAATACACAGAGGAAGTCAAGCCTCCAGGTCAGATGGCTCAAACCCCCAAGAACAGCCCCCTGCGTTTAGCAGCAGGAAGGAGACCTCAGTAGTGTGTTCTTGTGCTGTTTAGTTTGGAGTTAGATGGAAATGGGTCTTCAGTGTGAGGCACTGTCCCAGAGCAGATCTTCATTTCACAAGAACAGTCCAGTCTTCTGTTCATGAGCTGGGTTTGAGGGAAAGGATGGTGTGGGGAGAGAAGTGAATCTCTGCTAACTCAACCCTGAGGAAAACATTCCCATCCACACCAGATGACACACTGGATAGAAGGGCAGAGAGGGAATCACTGGGTCTCCATGGCTTGGACCAGCATCCAAGAGCCACTTACAAGCCTGGCCTCTTAGGCCGGATGGTCTGGCCCCGACCATCTAGGAGGTCTAGTTTTCTCAGGAAGCAAAACCAATGAGTGAAAAGAAAAACGCAGGGGGCTGGAGAGGTGGCTCAGAGGTTAAGAGCACCGACTGCTCTTCCAGAGGTCCTGAGTTCAATTCCCAGCACCCACATAGTGACTCACAACCATCTGTATTGAGACCTGGTGCCCTCTTCTGTATACATAATAAATAAATAAATCTTTAAAAAAAAAAACAAAAACGAAAAACAAGGCAGACTTAATAACGGCAGAGCTCGAGACTGACCTTCAGAGCAACATGATGGCTTTCACAGGCCTTTCTAATTTCATTTTCTTTTTCTTTTTTTTTCTCCCCCCCACCCCCTGCCCCCAAGACAGGGTTTCTCTGTGTAGCTTTGGTGCCTGTCCTGGATCATTGCTCTGTAGACCAGGCTGGCCTTGAACTCACAGAGATCTGCCTGTCTCTGCCCCCAGAGTGCTGGCATCAAAGGCATGCACCACCACTGCCTGGCTTGTTTTTCTTTTTTAAAACAGGGTGTGACTTTTGGTCCAGGTTGGCCTGCATCTCACTATGAAGCCCAGGTTGGCCTCACACATTCTGGGATTACAGGAGTGTGCTACCATTTCTGGCTCCATCGCCCCTTGAAAGTTTATTTCATAGCCCTGCCTATGTAAAAGATAATAAATGCTTTTCTAAAGTAACTCTGAAAAAAATAAAGCACGGCTTTTGTATCCAAGTGCCAAGTCCAACTGTGGAACGAAGACCCAATAACAGATCAGTACACAGCTGTCAAGTCCCCAGATCTAGTTCCCTGGGATCACATAACTATTCCCAAGATTTTGAGGCCAGGCCAATGAGCAAACATACTCAACCATTCTAGAAAACTGTTTATTACCCATCAGAGATGGGTATTTATGTCCCCAATTCTGAACCATTTATATGTGTGCATTTTGCTTGTTTGTTTTGAGAGAGTTGTAACATGAATCTTAAAAGGTCTTATAAAAAAAAAACAAAAAAAAAAAAAACAAAAAAAAAAAACCAGAGCCAGATATTGGGGCAAAAGCTGAAAGATCAAAGAAGCAGCAGAACAGCCAGCCACTAGCTCACCTCGATGAAATCCTCAGCCTCACGAGAGGGTTCCTGTTTCCTCACGCCTTATATTCCTTTCTGTGTCCTGCCATATTACTTCCTGGGATTGAAGGCGTGTGTCACCACTGCCTGGTTCTGTTTCTCTCATGTAGCTCAATATGGCTTTGAACTCACAGAGATCCGTCTCCCGAGTGATGGGATTAAAGGTGTGTGCCACCACTGCCTGACCTCTATGTCTAATTTAGTGGCTGGCTCTGTCCTCTGATGCCCAGGTAAACTTTATTGAGGTACACAATATATCACCACAGGGAGTATCTTGCCTTGTAGCTCCAGCTGGTCTGAAGTTGGAGGCAAATCTCTTGCATCAGCTCCTGGAGTATTAGAACTACAGGCACAAGCCGCTACTTCCGGCTTGTATACACCTGTTTATTGCCGGCTTCCACTACCAGGCAAACAACAACTTGAGCCACCACTAGCAACACTAGTGATAGTAATAGTACAGGCTGAACACGACGCTGTGTTCCACACTGACCTGGTCCCACGAGGGGAACATTCCACCCAGTGCATCTGTGTTTCATGTACAACATGGTGTAAAATGCTGTATGAAACTACTTTCAAAGTAGAGGGTGTGTAAACCACAAATTTTGATTTTACACGGGGTTCCTTCCCAGAATACCTTACTACATATGGCAAGTCTTTATTGAAAAATCCAAACTCCAGATTTCTTCTGACCCAATACATTTTGGTTAAGGATCTCTCATCCTGTGCTGGTAGAGTCCCATTTCACAGCCAGGTATGGCAGCTCACTCCGCAATCCCAGCTTCAGGAAACTGAGACAGGTGGACCACTGCAACATGGAGGTCAGTCGGATGAATTCATGTAGTGAATTCAAAGCCAGATTGTACAGGATTAAAGGGAGACCATTTCTAAAAACAGAAATTAAGAACAAACAAAAGTAAATGAAATCTGAGGGGTCAAATGTGAGGTGCTCCACTTCCTGCCCTGGCCCTTTCCTCCTCCGCCTGCTCAGCTCCCCAACCTCCGCTGTGAGCTCTGGTTCCTCTGCTCTCCGAAGGGCACAGCCCCAGGTGCTTCTCCTTT